CTTCAAATTATTGAAGCTGGGTATGTCCAGACTCCAGACGTTCGTGAAAAATAGGTACGCATTGCGTACATGTATCTGCGAAAAAACTGTGATTCACATTTTGTATTTCTTGAAAGGAACTGAATAATGAAGACGACATGGGACAATTGAAATATTTCATCACTTATTATAATAAACACAATAGCAAATAAGACTTTAGCAGAGGGCAGCAAGGACAACTGCCCCCCCCCCCGCCAATTATGATTTTAATGGATAATTATGCAGTCAAGAAATAAAAATTTCATGCAAACAATATTTGAAGTGTCTATGCAGCCAACAGCCAGCTATTTAGTAATAAGTAAACCGTCACTTGTCAAACCATGAATTTTCAAAACTTTTGAAATCAGATGAAGCAAAAGTTCTGTTTACACTTGCCAATGTTAACTGTTGAGTAACATACACAAACATGCATTACTGTAGCAAAGAGTCAATCATATATTGAAGACATTGTTCACTTTAACACAACATACCCACACAAAAACAATTTTTGTTGTGGGAAAATATCGGTTTGAGTAAAGGTATCACAAGTTTAGTTTTGTACATTGTGTACCATTGATTTGATCCATCCATATATGATTGTCGGATTTATAACTTTAATTTTATTATAATATATATGTGCTGTAAATATAGTTGAAACTGTGTCTTGCAAAATTATACTAATAACACTTATTCTTATTTCAATTAGTTGTGTGACGCATGTATGTCAAAGATAATTGTAAGTTCGTTATAGATAAGCTGAATTCAAGCCAAAGTATGCTAATAACATTATTGTATGTATTGCATGATGAAAATATGTAGGTACGGTTTCCGGACCGAAGTTATAAAATGTCGTGACGAACGCTAATTTAGTTAGAATGGTTAGAGGTCGTAAAGTAAAAGACCGGATTGTTGTAATTAACGTATAGTATTTGTGTGAAATAAACTTTGTAAAACGAAAAGTGAGTGTTGAACCAGCCGTGCAGAAATATTCGTTGAACGAAGCCAGCGAATTCTGCGACAATGACCGAGTCAGATCATAAGTAAGCTTATCAAGAATATAAGTTAGAATGGGCCAATTGCGGAATTGCTAAGCATCATGGTAGTTTAGTTACACAGCAGAATTTTTCAACATGGCGCTTACACTTTTCGAACGAGGGAAGGTGCTAAACACACGAGAATTGCAAGAAAACTTTTATCATTTTCGCTTTGATTAAAGTTT